CACGCAGGGCCCTGGGAGGCCCGGCCTTGGGGTGGGAGCCAGACAGGAAGCCTTCCTCTCGGGGAGGGGCCCACGTTCGGTCCCGGAGGACGGCAGGGGTCCCAGAGGGGGAGTCTGTAGGCTCTGGTTTGTACTGCTCCTGCTGCAGCCCCCACAATCAACTGAGCCAGGGCACTGCCTGCTCCACGCCCAGAGCGCGAGCGGGCTGTGCGGCTTGGATTATGGACCCTCAAATCACTCGGGCTCCTTGGGCCTGCCCACATCTGTACAGAATAAAGTGCTTCGTTTATTGATGATTAAAATGTGCCCAACCCCCTGCCCCAGCGCCGTGGGCCTCACAAGGAGGTCAGTGGGGTTCTAACCCCCTCAGCCCTTAGGCCGATGGGGCCCGGTCCCCCCACCACCCCCCTGGGGCTCAGGCCTGCTCCCACTCCAGCCACGCTGGGAAGGCGGTGGTATGGGGGTAGTCGTGGGGGTTTAAGGTGCAAAGAGTATAACAAACAAAACCGTATAAACACAATAGGAAAGAGCTTAACTAGGAAACATGTAGCTTATGGAACCTTCCTCCCCATTTGAAGGGCAGGAATAAAGGTGTTAAATGACAACAAAAAGGGGTGGCCTGTTAGTGCCGGCCTCATGCAGGCGAGCAGTGGGCACAGGCAGGGACTCCCCGAGGACCCGGGCCTGACCGTGCAGGCTCCTCTAACAATGCCACAGGCACCCGCCACCGACGCAGAGGCCCAGAGGGACAGGGTGCTGGACACCAGCCGTGGGCAGGTTGTGGCGGGGCCAGGAGAGGATGAGGCCTGGCATTGCCTTCAGGGAGCATGACGGACAGACACACACATCTCCTCTCGCGTGGGAGACAGGGCCGGGGCAGCTGGTGAGGGGCGGGTGCTCTGTGACCAGCAGCTCTGCCCTCTGCCCCCGATAGCACCTTGAAACCTCGGAACACTTGTCCAGGCTCCCCCTAGGCCCTGCCCCTGGGGGCACCCATTTGCAGGGGCTCCTTGGCTGTAGCCCCTGGGAGCTGGTGCCGGGGGAGCCGACCCATCGCCCACCCCAGGCCTGTCCCCAGCATCTTGAGTGAGGCCCAGGGACCTCGGTGCAGCCTGGTGCAGGTCGGGGACCCCTGTGCTTGCTGGCAGGGCGATGGGTGGGGAAAGCAAATGCCGGGGTCCAGCCCCTGCCTGCCCCACTCCACATGGCGCAGAGCTGGGTCTGAAGTCTTCACGCCTCACCAGGCCCCACCCAACACGCTCCTGGACATTCAGTCTCCAGCCCCTGCCTCCGTGTCCAGTCCTCAGACTGAGTCCACAACTGCTCCCGGGGGAGGGGGGGCTGGCACCCCAACCCTTTTAGGACAAGGAAGCAAGTTAGGGGACATGGAAGGCAGGGAGGACCCCGAGGCAGGCCCAGGCTCAACCTGAACAACCCCTCGGCTCAAGCCTCAGCAGAGTGACCGGTCACACCTGCGCTCCAGGCCACCCCTTCCCCTGTCCCTCTGCCTCCAACGCCCCCCTCACCTGGAGGGGGTACTGCAAAGCATTTCCTCTCTTTTTCCTTCACTTCCAAAAAAGGGGAAAGGCTTCAAGGAGTCCCTGAAAGGGGGCACTTGGGAGTGAGGTGTCCTCCACCAGCGCTGGGGGGCAGCCAGCCTGCACCCTGGCCAGGCTGGTGTGTCGCTCCCACTGCCCCGGGCTCCAGGTCCTGCGGGTGCAGGTCAGGGCTGGTTGTTGGCGCTCATCCTCCCGCCCCTGCTGCTGGCCGAGGTGGGGAAGAGTGGA